TCTGTCTGTCTTGGTCGGTTCGTCTTGTTCCCTGACTAGTTCTGCGGTGAGTGTTCTGTTTTGTCCATTGTCTATATATATATATATCATAGCCTTGAAATAAAGGAAGTTTCAGTTGATATCTGCATTTGGGTCCTGCTTGTTTCACAAACCGTGACAGTACGAACCGACCAAGGAATGGGCCCAGCAGATCCGTTACAGTCGGAATTATTACATTTTTCCTTTTTTTTGGCTAACTGCTCGGATAGGTGGAAGAGAGCACCCGGAGTTCAGCAGCGGGAGGCTGTGTTGTCGGAGGCGCGCCAGATGGCTAGAGAGAAACCAGGTTTAGTTAAATTCTTACCTGGCTGGATTTCAAAGATCCTCCCTGTGTGTGATTCCCGGCCTGCTAGCCCCAGGCTTGCTAGCTCCCGGCCTCCCAATTCCCAACCTGGCACCATACGCCTTGGTGGGTTCCGTCTGAAGTCAACCCGTGCTTCTGCCCCAGTTCCTGCTCCTGTCCAGGAGTCATATTCTGGAACTCGTCTGGCTTATGGAGGTCCACGGAGTATTCAGGCGGCTGCTAAGAGGAGGAGTCGCAAGGCCAAGCTAGCAGCTCAAGCCCCAAGAGCCATGGTTCCGGCTCCAGAACCGGACCTTACAGCCATGTTTCCGGCTCCAGAACCGGACCTTACAGCCATGTTTCCGGGTCCAGAACCGGACCTTACAGACATGTTTCCAGGTCCAGAACCGGACCTTACAGAAATGTTTCCGGGTCCAGAACCGGACCTTACAGCCATGTTTCCGGGTCCAGAACCGGACCTTACAGCCATGTTTCCGGCTCTGGAACCGGACCTTACAGCCATGGTCCCATGTTTCCGGGTCCAGAACCGGACCTTACAGCCATGTTTCCGGCTCCAGAACCGGACCTTACAGCCATGTTTCCGGCTCCAGAACCGAACCTTACAGCCATGTTTCCGGCCCCAGAACCGGACTTTACAGCCATGTTTCCGGCTCTAGAACCGGACCTTACAGCCATGGTCCCGGCTTCAGTGCCGGNCTTACGTAGTAT